AAGAGCCTGTTACATAACTGTCAGGACCTCGACACATAATATCTTTGGACGTCCTGCACTAAACTGTTTTATTGTAGAGATCACTACAGTATCTTCTTGATATTTTATATTCTATATTTCTATCATGCCTTCTACTTTCCCCCAATTTTGTATGTAGGCTACTCTTAATATTTAAATGTTTTCATCAAATAAAACGTATTCAACAACAAGTTCAATAACGTGCTTTAACCACTGGCGGTGCGGGTTAAAAAACCAGTGGTGTAGTTAAAACATAATAATATCAAACATAATATGACTATTAACTTTATTGTGAAATTAAAACAGAACAGTAAAGGAAAATACAGTTTCAGTCTCTCGATTTGAAGCGTATGCATTGTACCATGAACCTGTATCTGTAACAGTCAACTGCATGAGGAGTTGGAAAGGTAGTAAATAATATCTTTAAAAACTACAAAAAAAATCCCTTTCTATCAGCTGTGCACCGTTATGGTGTAAATATAGCCTATCAAATGGATCAAATATAAAAGTCAGCCGAGTTAGTGTTGATGCTGCAAGGAGACGTATTGTGTGAAAAGAAATGGAAGATGTGGTTTAATTGCCAATATATTTATGATCCACGTCACGTATTCAGTTTTGGCGGCATTTCTTACAGTTTGTCAAAAGATCTTCTGATCAGGGCTCTATAAATAAATATCTACGGCAGATATGTAATATTTAATGCAGCCGAACCGTGTATTACAATGCCGTTATGTGATGACTTCCAAAGAGAAAAGCAAGAACACTCGGAATAAAGTCTTATTTTATTTTTTAAAAATGTTTTTCCGATTTCATATCATATAAACACCATATCCCGAAATGCATTGCGGCTAAAACAATCGATGTTTTAGCCTATCAAAACCTCTGAAAAAAGAAAGGTGTCGCTCAGAATCGAAAGAGAAAAACCTATGGGAAAAACACAAAAGCATTGTACACAATTTAAACCAATAAATGTAAAGGATAAATTGATGTTTTTTAGTTGATGAGTACTGCAGATATCACTGTTAAATCATTTGATCATTGGTTTTATTATGAAAACGTCGAGACCGGAAATACTGTTTTAAACCCGTAACTTTACATGGAGGCTGCCGCATACCTCAAATCATCTTCGTAATATCTATCAAACTATAGATCCTACATATCGACTGGACGAGGATTCTAAAAGTACATAGACTTCTCGCTAGAAATCTAATCAAAAAGCGTTTTAATGGCCAAACTATCCTACAATTTAGGATTTTACAGAGAGGGTTATTTGTGAATAAACGACCATCTGTGCATTCAACGGGAGCACGAGAGGGCGAAAACTAAAACGTAATTATAGGACGTATTAAGCGCTTGAACAAACGACATATTTGGTCGTAATAAGGGCCTGAACAATCGGCCCATTTGGTCGTATGAGATGGAGGACTTGTTGATAATTTCACCTGGTTGAACTTGTCGAAACCAGACTTATGCAACTGGGAATTATTGTTTCCCTTTTGTTAATGAAAATGTACATTATTGACTGATTCTTACTCCTTTCCAGGCATTATGGAAGCAATTTCTGTAGATTTTAAGAGGAGTAATTCATCACCCCAAGTGTTTTTAGGTTCAATTTGTATAATTGCAAATTGATTTGAGAAGTATGCGCTGCATTATGTCATAACAACTTGCTAGGTAAAACAAATGTTAAAATTAATGCAGACTTGAAGTTAGCTTTAACACTTATTTCCCCCAAGTCAGCAGAGTGTTTTTCATACAGAAATAAATGGAGACCCCTGCAGCCAATATCAAAAAATGAAATACAGCAACGTCTATGATGTCCAAATATATTACCTGTAATTACAAGTCTTTAGTACTTGTGCTAAACCATGTAAAAACACAGGTACCATTGCAACCACTGTAGCTTCATTCAGAGACCCAAGACAAATCTTAGAAATAAAAAACATTTAATTAATTTGTCATGAAACCAAATCATAGTACACCTTTGTGATTTGTAACTGAAAAGAGTCCCTGTATAATGTTAGCTTGGATAAATATGTGATCTGGGTGGAGATCCAGCAGCGTGGTCCTCTCTGAATCTGAAACACTATGAAGTGAAAGACCACCCGGGGTCATGGTGTTTTTGCCGTCTTGCTTCCACCCATCAGATCTGCTCAGCTGTGTGCAGACAGACTGGTGGGGGGGCGGGGGGGGTTGGTTGGTCCTGCGACTGACCCATGACTTAACTGGCTGTCACAGAGAGTGAGAGGCTTGCCAGCAAGCAGCTGTGGCCTGTGGCCCTCGGTCCAAGTATCTGTCTGCATGTGAGGGACATAATAGTGTCACTGTTGGTGGTGCTAAAGAGCCCGTTTGTTGATGTTGAAGATCTTGACAGAGTGGTCGGCGCTGGCGCTGGCAAGCTGGACCCAGGAGCTCTCCTCCTCCTCTTCTTCCCTCTCTCCCTCACTCGCTCCGTCCTCCTCGTTCTCTCGCCCTGCTTGCCCGGCCCGGGGCCTCCAGCGGAGCCTCTTCACCGTCAGCGCGTGGCTTTGTCTGGGAAAGTTTGTGAAATGAAGGAAAAACAGGACAAAATCCAGACAAATACTACTACTAATACTACCTGCTGTACTTTAGTATAGCACCATCTCTAATGTCTCCGAAACAATTCCAAGATATGTAACAAAATGTGAGCAACAAATATTGGGTATAGAGCAGCCTTCTGATACTTAAAACCAACCAAAATACCTCTTTAATTTGCTTCCTGAGCTGTACAGATGATGACTCACTCTCACATGTTGGACACACAGAAATACACACGACCACCTGTCGATGCCTCACCCCCTAACTGCTGCCCAGCTCGAAGGAACGCAGCCAATTACATTTAGCATCGTGCTGCATTTTTTCTCCATAATACACTCAGCCATCAAACTGAAGCCACAGTTTTGTTTCTGACACATTGTCATTTACATCTGCTGCCCATGGCCATTGAAAGCCTTTCAAAGTTTCAACTTCAGAGGCAATGTGTGTGTGTTTGTGTGTATGCGTGCGTGCGTGCGTGTGTGAGGATACGAGATGTCTGTTCCTCCACAGTGTTTCCAGTCGTTTCCTCCAGCAGACCCCAAGTCAGGGCTCCACCTGTACAGCAAGATCCTGCCGCTCTCCAGCCCCACAGCAAGCAGGAAGCTGAGGAAGAAATCAAAACACACAAAGTCAGCTTTATAAATTTAACAAATTATAACAATCACTTCAAAATTGTTGTTATTCCTTTTTTCAGAGGTTCAGCCAAACGTTTTACAAATGTTCTAAGGTGCTATGAAACAGACAACAATACAATTACAAGTTTGCCATATTAAAAAGATAAAGAAATATAATTGTTGTGTGTGTCGTGTATGTGTGTGTACCTGTTATCAGAGCAGAGTGTGGGGCAGAAAGCCACAGCAGTAGCAGAATCTCCCACATCCAAGATGGAGGAACAGGGTTTGATCTCAGGAGACAGAGGAGCGTCTCCAGAGTCCTCTGACCCGCACGGCCCCCACACTATCACCTGGAGAGACAGACACACACACACACACACACACACACACACACACACACACACACACACACACACACACACACCTTTTATGAGCATTTAAAATGTAATAGTTGCTCTCTACAAAAAATGCAATCATTGCATCACCACTTCAATGTGCCGCCATATCATCATAAAAGCAAAGCCTGACCTTCTTGTCCCGACTGGATGTCACAAAGTATTTGCTGTCTGGGCTCCAGTCACATGACCAGATGATGCGGCTGTGTACGGCTGTGTCTTTCTCTGTGTGTGCATGTAGTAAGAACCGGGGCTCTGCATGGAAACAAACACAAACCAGTACAGGGATTAGAGAAAGAAGGAAGTCACAAAAAGCTTGAATCAGCCCCAACACAGCAGAGCTTTAATCACGCTTCTCCGACTCTTCCTCTTGATGACAGATGAGCGGGCAGTAAAAACGTTGTGTCGTGATCATTGTAGCATGACATCAGCATGTCTGATCCCTACCAACTGCTGTGTAGCAACAAAGGCTCTCCCTGGCGACAAATAAATAACCAAACAAGACAGGGAACCTCGTTGCAGCCCTCCATTTCACTCACTTTTGGTTTACGACCTGCTGCTGTTTATTTCCCCGGCCTAAGTCATTTCAGACCCCAGATTAGTTTTCCCCAGGGAGCTTGTTTGTATGCTGGTGGCAGCCGCCTGTCTGCTTGTCTGCAGCACTGCTCTCTCTCAACTCGCTCTCATAGACACACACACACACACCGAGCCGCAAAACCACAGGGTCCCCACAAAGTCAGAGTTAACCACCGTGTCGTGTCTCTGTGCTCACAACACTCTCTGCAAAACGCTCCGTTTGTAGGTGTGGTGTTTGGGACACACAGGTGTTACAGCTCCTCTCATTAACACTCTCATCTGAGGACGGGGGCTGCCAAGGCACACAGGGGATAGGGGGGGTGTTCAGTGCGCAGAGATGTGAAGACCAGCGACCGACAAGGTAGGAGTAACAACAATACAAATATATCCCAGAAGATTAGAGAGCAGCACATTAAAAAGGATACAGATTCGATACAATGTGTCACCAAAAAAAAGGAGAGGGAGGAGAGGAAGGTAGCGGGGTCTACATAATTTAGACGTCTGGGTGTGTGACCCCCGAGGAAGAGGAAGGGACGTGGTCAGATGAAAAGAAGAGACACAGAAGAGGTGAGAATGGAGGCAGGCGGTTTGTTTGATCAGCTCTGACTTCATTTAACCTTCCCTGGTCTGGACTGTGAGCCTGTGGGTGACAATCATCTTGAGTGATTCAGCAGCCAACCAGAACAGACGTGCCCCCCCCCCCTCCCTGTCTCTCACAAACAGCCTCCCTGCCTCTGAGCGGACCCCTGTAGAGGCAGACGGAGTTCAGGGCTGCCTCTCCTCTGCCTGCGCCCATTAGGACCCTCCTGCCAAAAGAGCTGTGAGACGGTTAGCAGGGAGGTAATCCTTGGGGCTTAAATGTCCTGTTCTACTCACCTTGGAAGCAGGATCGGGTTATCTGTCGGAGTCGAGGCGCAGAGATTCTCTCACATAAACAAACTCTCCAGGAACACGCTCTTGTTTACAACACTGGCCCTGCAGGAGGTGAACTGAACGTGGGGACGAACAGATCCCATTCTTTCTTCAGCGACTCAGGACATCAGAAGAACAAATCAGTGTTTGGGAGGTTTTTAACCGTAATCAGAAAAGACGAAGAAACCGTGTCTTATTGATCAAACTGGACCTAATTGATCAAATCTCTAAGAATTACACTTAAGTGCTCGAATAAGAGAACTCCTACTTCGAGCAAAGTGTAAGAGCAACATTTAATTGTTGTTTTCAAGTGATCAAATGATTAAAGAAATGCATGCTGAAAAAAAAAAGGGTTCTTTCATTTGTGACATTTCTAATAAACATCCAACTATAAAATATCCTAAGAATATTATACCATATAAGAAAAGGTCCGAAACTGAAACAAAAAGAGAACCGAACTTTAGCAGATAAAACATTCTCAGGCTGGGAGAGCAGGTAGATCAAAGAAATCTGATTATAAAAGACATTTCATACATCATTTACATTGCGTGAAGTGAGTATGAGGTTGTTGTTGGTTCCAACATACAAAATGAGAAGAAGGTCCTTTTAAAAGTAAGAATCAAATACAAACGGTAGGCTATAATAAAAGAAGTCTAGCTCCACAGTAGTATTTAAAGATTGGCTCTAGATCTATTTGTCTCTCTCATTGGTTTAATTTAATTGCTCAGTCCATGTGGACACTGACAGCAGTGACCTTCCAGAAACAGATCTGTACCGCTAGCCATTAATGTCACCACAACTGAGTTAAGTCTGAAAAAAGTCAAAGGTCAAGCAAACGGACTAAAAAAGTAACAACCTTTCAAAATAAGGCTACAGAAAACAAGCCACTACACCACCACTGTGATTGTATTTCTTCAAAAATACAGGTTGCTTAGATCTAGAAATGTATTCACAGCATCGACAGTGACTTTCTTCTTCTTGCTCCGACATGATAGGTTTGCAAACACAGATTTGATGAGCTCCTGCAAATGAGCTTTCTGTGGAGCCCTCTAGCAATGATGAGGTTCAAAAAGTTTACAGGAAGGCATCTGTTGTATTCTGTGTAGTTAGCGTCGCACATTACAAATATCTCTGCACATACTATCCAAGTATAACGTGCAATAAAGAGTTTACCGTAAGCGTGTCATGAAGGGAAGTTGCTGATGTTTTGGCAAATTTACATAAATATGAAGAGAAAATGTGTTTTTAATTATTAATCTTCCTTTTTTTGGACCGGTTTCAGTCAGCGCATCACTGGTTTGGCTCTTCTCAGGATTAATTAGTGGAGTCCTTCTAATCAGGCCAGCTTGATGTAGAATTTGGAACAAATCTGCTCAGTGGGTTTACCTTATTTTAATTAATTTGTTTTAGGCGTGCTGGTGTTGTTTGCCATTCAAGCTCCAATATTGTCTCTTTGTTTTGAGATTCACTCAAACACATTTTTAATTAAGCGAAATGTATTGGCCATGCTGAAATGCTACCTCATGCTTAGCTGCACTGCAACATAACAACCCCTCATGATAGATCCTCTTATTGTCCACAACTCCTTCCTGTTTCTCACCTGGACTCTCAGCTGTGGGCGGGTTCTGTCTCCATAAAGACCAGGTGCGATCACGGGAAACAGCCAATAGGAGTTGAGCATCCGGGGAGAAGGCCATCTGGGTGACGGTGAGGGTGTGGCAGGGCAGCGTCTGCAGCTGGCGCCATGTCGTCGTGCTCCACAGCAGAACGCCCGCATGCTCCGCTTTGGACGCCTGGAGAGAGGATTTAGATCATAAAAAACGCATTACTTTTAAAAAGCAGCTTGACTTTTGTTAGTTTTTGACTTTATCCTATCTTCTCTGTCTTTCTTCTTGCTTTTGACTTCCTCCTGTAAACAACTTCTATTTAAAAAAAAATGTACAAAATGAGCTTGCATGCCTGTTGGAAAATAAACAAGGTGTAGGAGGTGGGTTGAGGAATGGAGGATTGCCACAGCAGGGAATATAAAGGAAACGTAATTCAGAGGTGGGAAAGGAAAAGGGGAAGAGGTGAAAAGGAAAGCGAGAAGGACAGATGGAAAGAGGAGGAATACAGGTGGAGAAAGTGGATGCGAGAGGAAGAAAGAGAGATATTGAATGCCACAAAAAAACATATCTGTGATGGCTAAATAGCTCTGTGTTTGTCTGCTTCAAGGTCAGGACATGTTGGTACCATCAATACCTGACTGAGAGCAGCCTAACCCCGCTCAGTGGTAGTGTGGATATGAGCATGCAGAGTCAATATGTCATGATGCCCCTCCTCTCTGATCTAAGGCCTGTTACTGAGTACGTGCTCTCTGGCCTCGCTCCGATCACACTGACCTTGCATGCAGATGCCACCAGCGCTCTGCTGCTGTCTGAGGCCAGGCAGAACATCTCAAATCCGTGGCCGTATCTGGAGGACAATCATAGAGACATTAATCACCAACAGGACGCAGGATAACAGCCGTTCTAAATATGTGAAGGACAGATGAGATGTGAAAGACAGGCGAATGAAGGGAGGACGAAAACAACAAAGACAGCGCAGCGAGTGTGACAGCAAATGAAGTTTCCTGTTATTCCAAAGCGTCACCCCGACAAGCGTCTAGGTTTGAGCCATCGCCGCTCGCTGACAGGTAAATAAGCAGACAGAGTGTGAAATTAAAACACTTATCTGCAATGACTGGTCCTTTCCTGCTGACAGAGATGAACAACGATGATGCTGCGGGTAATCACCGGCAGCATAATTACTTTTAGCTTGCTGACTATCACCTGCTTGTTTCCAAATGTCAACAAAGGGAAATCACAGCCTGGAAGTTCCTCCCCATCTACGAAGCGTTGCAGCAATTTAGCCCCAACGCTGAGTGTATTATTTATGCCACAAAAATAATTCAGCCCCTTACTCATTTGAATGTTTCTATTATGCACTAAATGATTCAGGGGGCTGAAGCCAAATGGAAGTAAAAGAAAAAGGCACAATGCCCACACCTCGAATAAACCACCGCGCCATATGTTATGTTTATAGTGAATTGACAGGGAAATAGATTTAGCCTCGGCCACAAATGGAGGCAATATATTCAGCCTAGAGAAGAGGCTCATGGGATGGCAGGAAGCTGGATTCTGATTGGCTGATACAGGGAAGGAGAGAACCAGGGCTTTGTGAACTCCATCATTTTCAGTGAGAATAAACCCTTTGGGTAAAACTAGAAAAAAACACAATTTCATCTGTAAATGCTGCTTCATTAAGAGTGATATAAAAAACACCATGTCTTCTAGAAAAGGGAAGTATATATAAAGTAAATCTGTAGTCGAGGTTGTTTTACGTCTCAGGATATTGTTTGTTCCAGCAGGTTACCAAGCTGCTGCTAGCAGAGAGACATGTGGATACTCACAGTTTCTGGACCTCAGGCCACAGTGTGTTCTGGAGAAGATGATCCTCGGGTGGGGGCTCTACACACACACACACACACACACACACACACACACACACACACACACACACACTTAACTCCAAACCCTTACATAACTATCATTTGGCAGGCCCTGAAAACTGTGCCTTTTTAAAATTCAAATACAAGCAGTTTCCAATTTATAAAATGAGGATTACACCAAAGCAGCTATTATAATTTCCCTTTTCTAAATCCCTGTTCTATTAACCAAAAGTGCGACAGATAGGATCCTGAATGTGTGTATGTGACAGGCTTACAAATCAAAGAAGAAGAAAAAAGAGAAGACAAACGAGACAGAGTGAACTAAAGACTATGGTGCACCTAGGACACGATTAATAGCATGAAGACAATGTTCCCTCACATTTATATACAGACTCTTTTAGCATTTAGCTTGCATGAAATCTTCAGCCCTGCGACGCCTTTTGCCAAAAAAGATTTAGAAACAGCAGCAGCTTTATCGGAGATCTTAACGGCTGTTGGCTTTGAGGTGGACCAAATCTAGCCGGTGCCAATCCTCTCTGCACACGTCTCTGTGCTGCATATAACCGAGAGCTACACTCGTTGTGTTTTTCTTGTTGGTCATCGCCTTCCCAAATTGCCTAATTATTAATCTGTCTCCTTGCCTGCGGAAGCCAATCAAACGAGGGGAAATGCATTGTTAACAACAGCCTCCGCACTTGGTTGCTCCCTTCATAGCCCGGGGTCATCGATACTTAAACTTTGCAATCACATAAGCCTGCTTTCTAATTAGCATTGCAGATTATGAGTGGCTTCAATCATGCTGATGACAGCACTTGACACCCTCTAGCCCAGGGGTTTTAAAGCGCTATGTTTTCTCTATTTGACAATCCATTTCCCATCTGCTTCTTTCATCCACTAATTTATCCATCTTGCATTTGTTTCTTGTACTCTCCTTCCTCCATGTACCTCTGTGTCATTGATACATATGAATTCAATGTTCTTCCCGTTCGAAATGATCTTATTTTAGGAGAAAATGGAGTTTCAAGCATCAGTTTGCGCGTACAACTTTAAAGCAGATGTGTGTCTCTGAAGTTGGCGTAAAGAAGTGGATATCTTTGCCGAATGATTTAAAGGGCTGTAAGAACAGTTTAATGTTTAAGAAAATGTATAAAGAAAGCGTTATTAGACAGTATGAAGTTGACTTTTGGTTGTGTTCTGGTTTTATGTTTCAGTATTTGTAAGCAACTGTGACTGAAAAAACATTGCTTTTATTTGACTTTTTTATGGTTCTTTGATTTTTTTTTAACTTTTTTTTTTAAGAAGGGGCAGTTTAAATAAGAAGTGTACATGTTTTGTTAAGTGTACATGTTTTGTTTAAAAATAACTGCCATGTGTTGAATAAACAAATAAATTACGTTTCATTTTAGGTTTTTTTTTTTTATTCTTTTTTTTACTTCGACTCACCCTTACGGACACCTGCTGTAATACCATCGGCCTCCAGCAGACCTCAGGCATTGTGGGAGTATAGCATGGCGAGAGCCCCAATGACTAACTGTCCGTCTGGCCGCTCATAATTGTCTCTGATAAGAACATCTAGCGACAGGCTGGCTGGAAATCTTGTATTGTGAGCTGATTGAGGATGCTGAGTGGAGGGCGATGCAGAATATGAATCAGGCTATCGGACTGTTGAGGAGACAGGGATGCATTTCGTCTCGAAAACTATTAATCAAGGATGTTTAAATTAAATGAGGGTTTGCTGCGAAATCTCAGAAATGACCTTGCTATGCTGGAAAAACACTTGTTTGAGAGTGTTGTTTTTGCAGTACCTGTCATGATGAGCGGGTTGAAGTAAGACTCAGACTGGTATTGATCAGATACACTGTTGAACTCCCCTTCGTTGCTTTTGTGGGCAAGGTCACCTGTAGAACAATATGACACATCTGTAAATAAGTTGTAACATTTATATATTACACTACATCATATGAGCTAAAAAAAATACAAACAACATTTGATTTAAATAAGACCCAGAACTACCGTTTGGAGCTCAGATACAACTTTTGGATACAAAAAAAGGGGCAAAAGTAAGCAAGTTCTTACCCTGAAATACGGCCTTGTTGGACAGACCCAAGGCAGGTGTGCTGGCTCCTTCTGGAAGGTTGGCAGCGTCCTGACAAGATGAATGAACGGACAGAGAGACAAACACATCAATAACCATGTAGGGGTGGGAGATCCACTCAGCACATTTTACAGTTGTTAATCAAATCAAATCAGATTTTATTTATAAAGCACATTTTAAAACGATTTTTGGTCGAGACCAAAGTGCTGTACATGCAAATAATAAATAACACATTACTACATTCGCAAAGAACAGAAGACAATAAATAATCAAAGTGAAAAGAGAGAGAACTGATCTTTGGAGAGAGGGCAAACATAGTTCTTGACTATTTCTACGCGAGTGAAGATAACTTGAATATATAATTATGGTAATTTCATTCGACACTCACACTAGATGTCAACAGCTTTTCTTTTGACGTCCCAGAGATGTTAGCGAAGTTTTCCACAAAGTTTCGAGGTGCTTGAAACACTCGCAGGACCTTCTCATCGGCTCCCGACACAAACTGAAACCTTCCCACCATGGCCAGACACTGCATGTCGTATCCATGGATCTGCGGCCGGGAGATTTCATGCCAGGTTGCCTGCAGGGTGAATAAGGCATGAGAACATATAGGAAAGTATAACAAATCTGGACACGGGGATCGCAACACGCTGCATGGGGTTGTGCCAGCATTTCATTTTATGCCTGATGTTGTGGAACAAGATTTCTGGGCCCTAAATCCAGGCGTTTGCAACCAAGTTAAAAATGTAATTGATTATCCAGTAACAGTTCAAATGAAAACAATTATTTTCAGCTTATGTTGCAAACTAAACGCAATAGAGAGGATTTCCTAAACTGGATTCTTCCATAATGTAATAAAGATTGGAAACACCGTCATGTTTCTACATTTCATCTGGATACATTTAAGGGGAATTAAGAAGTGGGCGGATTCTGAGGAACTATTCATGCGATCAATTAATCCCCATGTCTAAAGCCTTGATTCTTTCTTTAAAAAATAAATCACTTCCAAGCAACTCGTATTATTAAGTCATAACCTACCAAAATTCAATCAGGGATAGGAGCCTAAACATATTTTAGCAAACTTCAGCAAGTAGAATACATATTAGCATTAACATTAACCTTTCTGTTGGTCGCTTGTTAGCAGACCCTTCACGCGATGGCAGAGCGAACAGGTACAGGCAGGGCCCTTAGTGATAGCCCTATAGTTTAAATCTACTACCCACAAATAAACATATGGACATGGGTTACTATTTAAAAAAAATGGTAAATGTATTTAGGAACCTATCCATGTGATTTTAAGTGGGGGTGGACCTCAAATCCTCTAGGGGGGTCCGGGGGCATGCTCCCCCGGTAAGATTTGTTTTAAAAATGTTGAGTGCATTTTGAGGGGGAAATAAAGAGACTAGATCTATGGGAACACCTATATGAAACAGAACTGTATACATTTCAATAATCATAAAATCATGGCCATAACCAATAACATATCAATATGAAACACTGAAACTTGTTTATTTATTTGTTTTTGGTTCATTTATAGTTGTGAGTGTGTGTGGGCTCCTGAATCAGCCTCTCCTGTCTCCCTCCTCTCTCCCTGCTCCTCTTTGAGGCAGCAGCAAAGACTAGTTTTAGCTCTCAACAAGTTTTAAAAGTGTATCTTACCTTTTTTTCACCTAGTTAACTTTTTATTTATTTATGCATATTTTACTAATCACTACCCTCTCAAATGGAAATATGTGTTTACATAAATGGTGACCAAACCGTTTGAGACCCACTGAGGTAACTTAGACTAAGTTAACTATCTAAACACTCAGATTCCTTTACCTCACCTGAGGTTATCCCGAGCTTGAATGACACACAGAGATCAATCAAGGGCTTTGATTTATGATCTGTATGACAGTGGCCATGTCGGCAGGCCACATCGTGTAGACAGCCAGTCACCCTGTGTGAGGCAGGCTACTTAACAGCTCAGGCCGTCGGGAAACCCGCCGGTCCTCCCGATGGCCAGTCCGGGACTGGGTACAGGAGGCGTAGAGCGAGGGATCATTGTCCAAAAGTTAATTAATCGCAGATGGCGTCGTGGTCAAAGACGAATACAAAAAAAATTATAAAAAAAAAAAAAACCTAAATGGGTCGCGAAATATACTTGGGCGGCCGTTAATATACCTGGGCGGCCCGCCCAAGTATAGTCTATGTGTGGGAAACCCTGAGAGCAGCATACTAAGTAACTATTGCTCACAGAAAAGAGGAAAAAATAGAGAGGCCTGAATCCTTAGGTGGACATGTTGAGGCCAGGTGTGTTAAACCTGTCTTTATATCGTCTCATGGTGAATACAGAAATGTGGAATGGCTCTTCGTCAGAACTACAACTTCATTTTATAAAGAGGAAAATCACCAGTAGCAGTGTTTACTCCAATTGTTTTAATGTTTATTTTTTTTAATGAAAATGAACTGTGATGTGTGCGTTAGATTAACAATCCTTATAACCTTATAACATCTTATAAAGTGAAGTATAAGATAGTATTCATCCTGTGAGATTGAGCTGTGCTGTTTATACCAGAGTGAGACTCTCTTTAATATCTTTAGGTGCATTAGGACTGTGGGTAATGTTGCATCACGACACAGGACTGCCTTATGGTCCTATTAGATGTATTTGCATCAATGTGATAAAATATTAGTATACTTACCATCTGGTTATTTAACTCAAAATCCTAATGTTGCGCTAAAACATTTAAAAATACTGTTTAATTCAGCTCCGTCTCTTTTTTCATTTACAGCATATGTGTACCTGTTTATCATCTTGTTTCCTCCATGGGGTGAAGAGTCTGGTGGTCTGGTCCGAGCCCACGCTGAGGATGAACTCCCCCTCAGGGTCCCAGCTCAGGTCCTGGACCGCATTAAAGTGGCCCGATATCACAACCCCAGGCCTCCATTGTCCCTGTCAGACAGCATTGCATTGGTCAGTTAACACATTCCAAATTATTTCTTGTGTCAATTCCCTTTAACATAAGCATCATTTCCATCATTAGAATGACACTACGGGAGAGAGGGTGATAATAATGAATGTGTTTCTGACTGAAAAGACAATCTCTATTTGAAACTTTATTAACACCTTCAGGTATGTGCTGAACTTTAAACTGACATTTTGATCGGGCGTAATTGAAATGCAGTTATCTCTGAACCTTATGTTGTGAATATAAGGTCTCAGTGAAGCAATGCTCTAACACTGAATATTATATCAAACACATTATAATAACAAGGATAGTCTCAAATAACAGAAATACTGGCGTTATACATTTGAAAGGTTAAGAAGAGTAAAAGAGACATACCTCTTGATTTTGGTCTTTGCACCAGAGATGTAGCGCTCCATGAAAAGCATGAGCAGCGATCATGGAGCCATCTGGACTCATCTGGCAGCCGTAGAAACCCAGAGTGTTGCCACCAACCTCCCCAACACGCACCTGGTGTGAAAGAAACACATGGTGTAGGGATGATCATTACAGACTAGAGATTCAACTCGGATGTCTTTTTAGAAACACGTGTATGTGACATCAGGTGGGGGAGAAACATTTGCCTTCTGGTTCGGGTCACTGACTCGCCACAGATAAAGATAAAAGACATTGAGGTGCATGAACTGCCACATATGGAGAAAAAGCTGCGGAAATAATCAGGCTATTTCGGACATTTTTCTCCTTTCATCCTATATGAGATTCAGACACATGCAGTATATAGCGTAGTTGTTCTGTCAAACACCTGGGTTTTGTGTAAATATAAAGGTTTAGATGTATAGAAAATAAGAGGAGTGAGGGGAAAGAGTCTCCCTACAAGACATATTAACTAACAGCTCCCACAATGGAAGAAGAAGACTGAAATTAAGCTGACAAGTCAAATGACGCATAATGAGACTGATTAGAGCTCAATAAACTGTGTTGCTTTTTCTTAGAAAATACATTAGTCTAATACAGAATGAAAGCAATTTCAGAGCAGCATATCACACTGAACAAATAATGATGAAATATGGCGACGCCTGAAGGATTTACATAAATTGGATTTGGGCGAGAGCTTGTGACCCCTGCGTCACGCTCGTAGGACAGATCACACAGACAGTGAAGGGTCCGCGGACACGGAGCACCCATGGGGGCTGAGCTGCCACTGAAAAACAATCCATATTACAAACTCATAATCACTGCCTCAGAAAGATGCTAGACATAATAATCACTTCTAAAGGATTCTGACCGACTGTCTAGACTCAGTTCTGTAATGAATTTTTGTGGATTCAAATCATTAGCTGGGGAATGAAGCGCGTTTTGGTTTAAGTGCAGTTACCAATTACACTGACAAAAAGAAAAAGCACTTGTTTAAAAACGGTGGAGGTCACTGTAACTCACTTTAAGTTCCTTAAAAGTGTGTTTTTCCAAAACAGGGCGCAAAAAGGAAAAGAACAAAAAGGCATTACACTGAAGGAGGCAATTACAACTAGAAATGAAAAATATTGAGCCATAATGCCAAAATAAAAAGTTTCTAATGAGTTCTACAAATAAAAAAACGTAATTATATTTCATTCACATTTATTTCTTTACTGAACAGAAATGACATACTGAAATGAGGAAAGCAATATTAATACCTCATCCCGTTGCTTGCGTAACCCGCACGATTCAATGCAGGATTATGGCACTATACGAAAATAACTTGAAACAATGTGGAAATGAATCCACAGTCATTCTTGTATAAGCAACGGAGAGATGTTCTAACCATTAGCCGTCAATATTTTCAACTGCAATTGGCTTGTGCGGGACGAAATGAGCTTCATCCCTGAAAGATAAAAGGACAAGAGAGGAAGTCTAGACGTGTGCATTGTACGCTGAGACATTTATGTTCACATAACTTTATTCCTGTCTAGTTGCTATTGTGAGTTTATTCTACAACCCTTAACCAGTCGAAGAAAAACGATGTTCCCAAGGACTTTAAGAGAATTCTATTGACCTGGCCAACTTCTCACGGAGGAATTCAAACAATTAAAAGCTTTATCGGGCCCTGAGGCCTTGGAGGTAAACGGGGCCCAGAGGGGAGATCTATCCAAATCGATAGCAGCAGAAACAACCCCAGAGAGCGCTCCACTGCTCCCTCAGCACCACTGGAGTCTGTATCCAGATACGGCTACATTATATCTTCTCCATCTTTAATTAGCTTGTGCCTTAAATGATATGGACATTGGCTGTGAGGACATTTGAGAAGTGCTAAATTCACACTTGAATGATTCAAATCTGTACAGCTTAGCGTGTTATCTTTGCAGCCGTCATCGCAGGAGCAACCCACGAAAACACATGTGCATCAATGACATGTTAAACAAACAGGATGGATGATACACACACAAACATATCTTGGCTATGTCTACTGTATGTGGCAGCAAAGTGGAGTCCTCCATCATCCGGCCTTCTTAGGGAGCTTGCGTTGGTCATCAATGACCTTCAAAATAACGCTTGTCTGCAGGCTCAAACACAGCGGAACTAATGGCAGCGATAAAGACACGCCTTCACATTGAATGGCATGATCCTGCAGCCTTTCAGAGAGAGAAGCAGGCAGGTAGAAACATAGACGGTGAGATTGAGAGAGAACGAGATGCAACATTAAGCAGATTGATTTTAAAATTCTGCACACAAGAGTCTGCCGTAAATCATTCAAAAACTCACAGAGGCAAAAAGCCGTCATCTGTCTTGTTTACGACAGGGGGAACAATATGGATGCACTATGTGTCTTATCGCTGGCCAGCGGAGGTATGGGGGAGGAAAAGAACAAGGACAGACAAAGAAGGCAAGGCGTATATATCATTATTTGAAGGAGAGAAACAGGGAGATGGCTGCAGAATGAACTTAACTGGGAAAACCCGTACAGACAGGTTTTCAAACTTGACACTGAGACGTATTCTCCTTCACTTAAATGTCTCCTGATGAGATGTAGAACATAATTAAAGACAGCAAATAAGAATTCAATTAAACTGTTTATATCAGATTATCCTCACATTTGAATGCAGGAAGCATCAAATGTCTTGTGTTTGGCTCGATATACGTCTTACTATAGCCTGGTTCCAGACCACAAGAGCAGCCTTTCCCAAACTCAGGGTCGCGACCGGACCCGTTTTGATTGGGTCGCCAGTTAAATGCATTGCTACACACACACAGCGTCAGAGCTGATGGCTGCGTTGCAAATACAATTTTTTTTATAATTTTTGTATTTTATTTTTTATTTTGAAAATGAAATTATGCAATATAGCATTGTATATTGAATGATTTAATTTTCTAAATACAAATAAACTAAAAATAAAAGATTGTATTTGTATAGGCTCTGACGCGTCCCCCGCGAAAGTTTTCGCGCAGTCTGTTTATTGTCTGTTGATTAATCCCGATCGTATATGATGGCAAAAAGAAGATACAAAGAGGAGTTTTTAAACGTTGGCTTCACAAAAGCTGTTGAAATGGAGAGGAGCGGCCTCAGTGTGTTTTATGTGGAGAGGTGCTCAGTAACGAAAGCTTGAAAATGAGTAAATTGGACCGGCATCTCCAAACAAAACATCCTCTGCATCGGGACAAATCGAAGGATTTTTTCATCTGCAAAGAAGAGTCTTTCAAGATGCAGTGTTATGACGGCGGAAAAGTAAGTCACTCATTTTAATCATTTGTTTTGTGTTTTTGTGAGTTTGTCAGGGTCTGTTGTGAAATTGTTTCGTTAATGCAAAGTTGGATGAAATGCAGACTGAGCCCCGGAGCGGACCGCCAGCTGCGCGCTCTCGCGCGTCCTCTACTCGCTCCCGCGAGTCCACTACATTCTGCAGCGGCACAGAGCGGTGTTTCAACTTTTACTAGCCTGAAATGTTTTTAAAACGGCCGGGAGAAAAACAGAGAAACAATAACCACAGGAAGATTAGAGGNATCATCTGCAAAAAGCAGTGGTGCAATCCTTAGTCCACCGAACTGCAGACCCCCTCCCCCACGACTACGCCTCGAAATCCGATCCATGTATATTACAAACAGGATTGGTGACAAAGCGCAGCCCTGGCGGAGGCCAACCCTCACCTGAAATGGGTCCGACTTACTGCCGAGGACCCGGACACAGCTCTCGCTTTGGGAGTACAGAGATTGGATGGCCCTGAGTAGAGACCCCCTCACCCCATACTCCCGCAGCACCTCCCACAGTGACTCCCTGGGAACCCGGTCATACGCCTTCTCCAAGTCTACAAAACACATGTAGACTGGATGAGCGTACTCCCAGTCCCCCTCCAGGATCCTTGCGAGAGTAAAAAGCTGATCCGTCGTTCCACGACCAGGACGGAATCCGCATTGTTCCTCCTCAATCTGAGGTTCGACAATCGGCCTGACCCTCCTTTCGAGTACCTTAGAGTAAACTTTCCCGGGGAGGCTGAGTAATGTGATGCCTCTGTAATTGGCACACACCCTCTGATCCCTCTGTTTGGTATTTTAAGCAAAAAACTTCACAGACATGTTTTGTATAGGTATGGCCCTACAATATATTTTTCCAATATAGGATAATAGGTCCACTTCAATTTGGGTCCTTTTCATCATTTTGTGACCCTTTTCGTCATTTTTTTGACCCTTTCAATATAAAGCAATGTCAACTGTAAAATAGTAGGAATATTTATTGTCATTGGGAGGACTACAATTAAATTAGGAGCACTACTCCTGATCAGTACAGTTAAAAGACACAGAACAAAACAGTTAAACACAAGACAAAATCAAAACGACTTTAGCAAACGAACATCCTCCGTTGACAAACAGAATGGAAAGTCCAATACATTTAAGTTAATCAAACAATATGATAGCTGGCCTCTTCTCTGCAGGGCTGAATAATTGTTTAGTGTGCATCAAATCAATGACACTTTGTTTATATTTGACATGCATTCACATAGATAAGGTCAAAACAGCTGAAACAAATGTAAGTGAAAGAAAATGCCTTTGGACAGATATTAAATCTCTCATTCCAATTTGTTTATTTCTGTAAAAATGTAAGTTGACTGAGTCCAACAATTGTATTATTGTAATATGTTCTCACATTAATTATTAGTGGTATTCCCAGCTGTCATCCATATCTCCCTTTTTTTCTAAGCTGTCAACCATTACAGCTTCTCTTTATAAAAGTTTCTGTCCCCCCGCCAGTGCGGATGAACACTGATGCCGCTTGACAGTCATGCACATTAAGCGTGTGTGTATGCAAACCAGGCGTAACCTTGGGGTGTATTCCCAGAGGAAAAAACGGTCCATGTTAAGTTGGATTGTGACAGCTTGAAATACCCTCGGCCTCTACAGATTAGGATAGGCAGAAAAACATGCTTCTTTTAAACATTCCAGAAACCGTGAAAGGAGAATTTCCACGTGCAATATAGCAAAGAATTGCCATATAGTTCTAAAATATATCCGGACTTATTTATATAAATATCTGTAAAATAATTTCTGTGAAAAGGCTATGTTACTGTATGCTGTTTTTTCTTTAGAAAGTGCGACACAAAGGTGCATGAGTAATTGAAGTAGAATTTAATAGCTTCTCTAAAGCCTGTTGTAGTTATAAAAACGATCAGGGTTTAAACAGTGATCAACTTGTTTTGTGTCCTTGAATGTGAGGGAATTTGGGCTGGAAAGTCCTTGAACGTGATGTGTAAGAACCCTTCTCTTAATTGCGTAGCAGTTTTACTCGGAGGGCATCACAAAGTTTAATTCATGTGCTTGTATGTTCCTCAGCTGAGTGCCTCCACACCTTATCGTTCGGCAACAGTTTTATGATGGATGTCTCTCTGGCACTGTTGCCAGGCAGCAGAGGTAAGCCTAAGCTGTTCCTGCATAGACATCCTTTATGTTTTGCTTCAAACACACACACACACTTACACAGACATCTTTCCTCTCATGCCATCCATCTTAATTTGCACTACTGCTTTAGCGCCTGTAACCAAATGTCATTTTCTAAATTCTGCCTGTGTTTGAAGTGTCTCATATTATTCTGCCTCTCTGTTTCACGTGTTTTACATCTGTTAGAGGTTGTGCTTCCTCCTTCTCTTACATCGTGTGTGTGTGTGTGTGTGTGTGTGTGTGTGTGTGTGTGTGTGTGTGTGTGTGTGTGTGTGGAACTTGACTGTGTGAAACCTGCCTTTCTTTTTTTTTTTTACAGTTCCCATACTGGCCTGTGGGGGTGATAACTCCCAGGTGGATCTGTATGTGCTGTCTAATGGAGAGGTGAGCTCAGACAGATACTCTGTTTAAGCGACATCGCATTAATTTTTTCCCTGACATGTTTATTTGTAATTACTTGAGTATGTGAGCAACATTTGACCTTTTTGAATTGCCCTACAACAGCTCCAGAAATCCATGTCTCTGCAAGGACACGAAGACTGGGTTCGTGGAGTGACCTGGGCATCTCTAGGTGAGCACCACCTACTTCTCACTCAATTTAAAGTCAGATAAACATACAATATGTACTGTAGGCAAGTGTCTGTGATTTGAAAAACCTTTCTGTTAACCAGAAAGTCTGATTAAAATAAATTTAGAACAGAAAATATACATATTGTTTAAATTCTCTTAGAGCCTAATCACATTTTCTTAAAAGCTTGTGCTCACGGGTCTCTATAATATGTGATTTATCTTAAGCAAGCTTGCAAACTGAATAAAACTGGCCTTTTAGAAGAGTGAGATAACACATGATTGGTTAAAAGCTGAAAGGTGGGAGGAGCTTTCCAGTAAGAGCCTTCCACCAATTTCAAGAGAAAGACAGACAAGTGCATTTCGACCTTCTTTAAGAAAAACAACTAGACACATATATCCTCTTGGGCTTAGTGGAGCATTTAGAAAAACTAGACACACCCTTTAAACTTTTTTTTTTAACCGCATCACCAACTAGTTTGCTATTCACAGTATTGTGGTAGCACAATGCAATGCATGGATCCAATCCAAGCGCTGCTAATTCTGTAACCCTCTTCAAGGGCTCTTCATTACGGCACTGTTCTGACTGTGTAAAAGCTATTTCATCTCCTTAACCAGGCCTCTCCACCAGTGTCTCCTTCCCACTCACAGTCTGTGACCCACTCCACGCTGCCAAGCTGCGAGCGGGCAAAGAGACAGAGAGAAGTTTGTTGATATGAAATATCCCCATAGGAATGACAAAACTCGCTCTCCACTGTGATAGTAGTTACATAAATCATTCTGTTTTTGAAGGGCTTGGCAGATGGCACATTGCAGCAGTAGTGGTGCAGTTTACCATAGCTGTTAAACACTGGCATTCAGAGCATGGTGCTATTTCTTGTTTTTTCTGTTTCTATCTTTATCCATTCTTTCTAAATCACAATTCTCTTTCCATCAATCTGAGTACTAGAATAAAATAGGCTCTGGTATAAAAGCAGCTTTATTGTATCTAGTAATGTTTTATTTTTGCTACACAGTTTATTAAAGATGAAAATATTTGTTAGTTGCAGCCCTAATCATGTTGCCGCCTTCAACACGCCTGGCAACAGTACTGTGTTACTCATTTTGATTATGATGCTCAATCAAGCATCTAATCTCACACTGACACACATACGGCTACACATGGTTTCAATCTAATTTTACAACATTTGAGGCTATTTGTTGTAATTTAGGGTGGGGTGAAAATGTTGTATTGCTTTTTCAAAAGGCTACAGTTGGGAGCTTTATCATGGCGTGGATAAAGTTTTTTTGAAAATCGAATGAAAAAAGAAAAACTCTAAAGTTTAAGTGAAAGTTTCAACTCGATTTGTTGGCAATGGGTAATTTATATGGTCAAAAGTATCAAAACTACTCCGACAGGCTGGAGAAAATGACTAATGCAGTCTGTTTTGGCAGAATTTCAGCCCAGTACCAAAATGTATCATCAATATCATTACTAAATGATCGACAAACAACTATGGCCTTACTCCTAGCTCTCCCAGCATTTAGAAGGCATTAGGTGGTGGCAACGGAGGAATTTATAATATGTCTGTTTATCTTGGCGGAGGCAGAACTGGGCCAGTGGCCATTGGACTAAACCTGAAGCGCATAATGTGACAGACGGGAGCACTCAGAGATAGTGGCTTGTGCTTTGTTTACCAGCTGTCTGTTTATATTTGTCTGGTACTCCTGCTGTCTCGCTGGCCATGTCACTGTCAGCAGCGTTCTTCTAAAATGCCTCGATAACAGATCTAAAAAACAATTGAAGACAACAAGAGCCTCTTTCGATGTGCTAGGTCAGGCTTTAATGCTCACTACAGACCGGAAAACTAAAGTTGGAGCCAGAGTCAGGAAAGTTGGTAGTTAGGCTCAGTTCTAAATGTTGCAACATCACTAAATTATTCATCATTTTATAAAAAAAAAATATATATATTTCTCACCACACACACTCACAGGAGTTATTATCCCTTGAAACACTTCGTTTTTTACCACCAAATAAATGGAACAAATTAAAGTGATATTGAAATAAAACTGTAATGTTTTTATTTGACATCTCTTTATTTATTTTCTTAATCCTGTAGTATATTCTTCCTACTTAATACTCTTTGTCATTTTGTCCTATATATAAACCATTTTTAAAGATAAATACTTGATAAAACAAAGGGGTGTAAGTATTTCAAAGGCATCAGGATACATTCAGTGCTATAGGGAAGGGTATTTTAAGAGCTGATAGAAAATGTCTTTCAGTGGAACAAGGTTTTCATGTTCTCTCTTTGTCTCGTTCAGGTGGAGAGCTGCTATTAGCCAGCTGTTCCCAGGACTGCCTCATCAGAGTGTGGAGGCTGTGTGCCAAGTCTGGGACAGATGCCCACACAGAGGACGATCACACCATCATCAAAATGAAAGAGGACGTTTTTGAAGTGAGGGAGAAAGGTGAGCGGGCCACACAGGCTTGATTTATAAAAATGGAGCTAATTAACCAAATGAGTAGGCTCATTTGTTAATGATATAATTGCACACGGTGGTTACCGACTTCCATAAATAACAAGTTTGTGTGTAACAATTACTTATTTTATATTTCATGGAATGTTTTCTGTAGTTGGCCACAAAAAAGCTTCTCTCCTGTTCATTGTTTAAAACCAATACCATGATCTGTCCTCTGTTCCCGCTCCAGATGTGTCCTCCTCGGTGTTTGCTGTGACTCTTGAGACAGTCCTGGCTGGACATGAGAACTGGGTCTATGGAGTCCACTGGCAGCCTCCTGTCTACAAAGGTACCTTGATGAACAACCAGGGAAGGGATCAGTCAATACTTACGAAGTTTCAGATAATTAGCGGTAGGTTCCTGCAGAAATCTCTTGGTGTTTGTGTCAAATTAAATCAAAGTCTCAGAGTTGGCCATACGGTACTTACCTCTAAACATTTCACTCACTTATTTGGTAATGGATTTTCTTGGGTGCTACACGGGGAGATGTTGTTTCTCTCCCTCTGTCCTACACTGCTGTTGTTTACAAAAAGCAGCACAAGACGGTGACAATTTCAAAGACAAAAAGACAAAAAAGGTGTTTGCTTAATTAGCTCTCAAGGGAAAAGCCTAATGGAGTGCTAAATATTCTCTTTAAACTCTGCTTGCCTTAAAAGCTTATTACATTAAGATCACTTCAGACAGCTTCTGTATACATCCCAGATACACAAGTAAGTGAAATGACTTAATTATGAGGGCATATCCAGTCGCAATAATTTGCCTATTATTGACATTACATTTGTTTTCCATCTTTAAAAACTAAAATGCTATCATCATTAAGCATAGATTATAATTGTTAAAATATGATACCATGCATCCTTATACAAATTGATCTCTACATAAATGGATCTCTTGCATGCAGCCCCCAATGTGTTTGGGAATACCAGTAAACAGAAGCAACTTTGCTTTTGAATGGTACATTTTGACCTGTTAACACATGTAGGAAGCACTTGATTTGTTGCATCAGAGCAGGCAGACATCCTTAACATGCTACCGACTTTTATACATTATAGAGACACAAACCATGATGAGGATTTCTGTACAACCTTAAAAATATGTCATAGAATATCACAAGCCACTCAAAGAGGCTAAGCCGACGCTTTAAGCCACTGAAGATCCGCTTTCTTTACATAATTGACACACACTTTACGTGTGTGTGTGTGTGTGTGTGTGTGTGTGTGTGTGTGTGTGTGTGTGTGTGCGCGCTCGGGGGTGTGTGCTCAAATCTGTTTGGCCTTCCGGCTGAACCCCAATCCACAAACATTGTTTACTACCTTTTATACCAGGTGCGTTCATTGGCCCCTACACCACGAGCCTAATAATTGACTGTTGTCTGTAGACCATTATTAACTGCAAGCTGCTCCTATAAGTGTCTATTTGTCTCCCCCTGCAGGTGGAGAGCTGCAACAGCCTCTCAGTCTGCTCTCTGCCTCCATGGACAAAACCATGATCATCTGGGCCCCTGAGGAGGGGTCTGGAGTCTGGGTGGAGCAGGTGAGTGTTGTCTTGAGCGCCTTCACACACACATACATGCTATCAATCACTCTCTGCAGGGAACACAGGGTTTGCACACAGACCTACACACCAATCCCTTTCCTGCTAGTTTTCCTTTCAGCAGCTCTTGACATGATCCAAGCGTTTGAGCCCCCTGCAGTATTCTCTCTCCTGCTGTCAGGGCCCCTGCGTCAGTCTCCACTCTCCCTGGCATTGAGGTGTCAGGAATAGAAGTGATAGACAGTGATGAAGAAGCGTTGAGCCTGGCGCACCACTGTGAATTTAGACAAGCCGAGGTTGTCCTCCCCCATCTTCCCCTCCATCACTCACTCACACGGACCCCCTCTTTTACAGCCCATTCCCCAACATGTGTCCAATGGAAGACATACCATAGCCCCTGCGTGCAACCCCTTTTTCCATATTATTTTTTCACCCCATGATCTGTCTTTAACGTTGACTCCCCATTCCACCGTCACTCATTTCACTTCGTCTTTTTTTCCACCCCTTGCCTTCCCTTCTCTCCTCCTGTCTCGTCTCCCTCTCTCACATTCTCTCCCTCTCCTGCTTTCCTCTCGCTCCCCTCCACCTCGTCTCTCTGAGCTCCACACAGCTGCTGTTGTGCCGGAATGTGGCTAAATTTAACACAAGTGTGGATGGTGAAGAACAACCTTTTTTCCTATCTGTCCCACAGTGTTTATTTTTTTGACTACGACAAGTTCTCAGGTGAGTCAAGATTACCTAGAATACCTTTGAACATACCTGTCAGAGAGGCAGAAACATGAACAGGCTTGCAAAATTGTCACATATTTTCACGCATGCAGAATCTCATTGTGCACACAGGCTCCAAAAGAAATACATACATCCTTCCCATTGCACTGAAATTGGCTCACTTCACTATGGCAGGCACCTTGTGTGTGATCACACTCTAAAGTGATTTTCCATACTCGATCTGTTACATTTTGGTGCCTTTGATCTCATCATTTGCATCCATAGTGACGAATAACAAAGACCAAAGAAAAAAGCAACCAGAAAGGTCTTGATTCTCCTCTCAACAAAGGGACGATGATTAGAGCCTGAAGCCAGTGTCTCATAGTCCTCTCAGTCTTCTTCTTAGTATATCTAGACAAAGGTGGTCAGTGGAAATGAAAAGCAGCAGTGGGCATTTGAAATCATGTCTGCTGTGCCCAATCTCCATCCACTGCTCAGGCCTTTCTTCTTTAAGCCAAGAAAAAATAAAAGTAGCCCCCTACCTGAAATAACCTTTTTGTTGAAAGTGACAGTGCTCCTCTTTTTCTGTTCCTTCACACCTGATTTTTTTTCTTACTTGAACAATCAGGTTGCCTGCTTGCAAAGCCTGACCTCTGAAGCTTGAAAAGGCCTCACAAAGGCTTTTGTACGGGACGTTAACGTTATTGGCATAGCAGATTCCACAGTGCTAACTGACCGGCCATGTGTGTCCTAATTAGCCGTTTTTTTTAAACAAAGTAGTACCCCACTTCCTCACACTGATTAGAGTAATTGGTGAGATTTAATGGAGAGCAGGGTTAGCAGTGGGGTGGCCGGGGCCCACCACTGCGTAAAGCACATCTCACTAACGAGACACACTGGTAATTAACATCTCAGACTGGCCGCTACAGGGCCTGCAGGGACGTGTGTGTGTGTGTGTGTGTGTGTGTGTGTGTGTGTGTGTGTGTGTGTGTGTGTGTGTGTGTGTGTGTGTGTGTGTGTGTGTGTGTGTGTGTGTGTGTGTGTGTGTGTGTGTGTGTGTGTGTGTGATTTACAGAAAGGTTCTTCCAGTGTGCGCATACCTAGACGTGCAACTTGGGTCACAATGTGGAAGCAGAAACGACGCTAGGAGGAGCAAAAAAGAGATCCGTTTCCGAGTTTCCCTTCCACCACCACATTACCACGTGTCGGGGATGTAACGGACCTGCGGCGCGACAACCGTGAAGCGATATTAATTCTCATTTTATTCCCAATATACTTTGTCATACAATTTAAAATTTAAGTACCTAGCAGACACCTCACGTGAAGTATTACATCAAGTGGTATCTGTGACAGGTGTGGACTATGTCAATCTGCGAGGCTTTTTGTGAGGTACTAAATAAAAATCGAACCCAGGGAATCCTGGTGTTGTAAAGACGGAAAGGACCCAGAGTACGACTTTTTCAAACCCTTGGGGACGTGATTCTCACTACAAAGGTGAAGGTAGATTAAAACAAAAAAAGTCAGATAATGAATTCTTACATGTGTTTGTGCTACAGATGTTGTGATTTTAACTGCTGCGACAGTCCTCTACTTGATGTTGAGTAAGACCACGATTCATTTTGGTGTAACGAAGATTTGCCATTACACGTCAGGGTTTAATAGTTAAGACGAAACCACACCCAATTTATGCTCTTTGATCACATATGGTCATTAAGGTAAGTATCAATTTAAGGTAGTTATGTCATCCAAACCTACCTAAAAGAAAAGGAGATAAAATCGCTTTGTAATTTAGATCAGGGCGATATAGATTAAAAAGATTCCGAAATGGTAGTTTTTCGTTGGGATGAACTTTAGAAACGACTGGAGTACCACATCTACGAGAGGACCTGGTTCACTAAAGGAACAACCCACCCCAATGGTCTAGGGTTGTTTCGTTTGAACGAACTGGTGTGGGTTGAAGGGTTACCCAAACCAGTCTTCAAACGAAATAACTCTCTAATTAACCTTGACATTTAGTGTGTGTGTGTGTGTGTGTGTGTGTNAAAAAGCAGGAAATAAAAAAAAGAACTCACCTTGTGATAAACCTGCAAGAACCACATCAAAGATTATTTCTGAAACAGTATGGAGCTCAAATGCTTTTTCTCTTGCAGGTTTATCACAAGGTGAGTTCTTTTTTTTATTTCCTGCTTTTTAAACACATGTGCTTTACAGTACGGGTTAGCTCTGAGTGTTAGCGAGGCTTGCTAATGTAAACAAAGACGAGATTACGCCCAAAACACTTCAAGCATTGTTTCTGATAGCAATTTTCTGTGGGTCCACTGCCGATTTGACGTCAGATCGGCAGCAAATCTGTATCCGCTCGTTGTACCCCTGTTTTTAAAAGGTTTGGGAATGGAGGAAAAGAGAGAGGATTTTATTATCTGACGCTGCGTGAGTTCCCCGACGCACTGGGGACACATATTTATATATAAAAGACATCACAAAGTGCATTTTGCATGATAGGTCCCCTTTAAGTATTAATACTACTTTAAAACACTATTCTTCCGAACAATTTCTAACCTTATTATGGTAAGTGTTGTACCACAATACAGTACAGTACATCTCCACAGGCTGAAACCAAAAAGTTGTTGCCAGATTATTTTGTGTTTCTTACCTTCTTTGGCTCCATCACAGAGCCACAGTCTGACAGTGGAGTCGGATGCTGAGGAGGCCACCAGGATCTTTGAATCCTCCAGATAGATGGCGTCCACAGCACACACTGCACCCGTGTGGCCCTTACACTCCAACGACTGGATGAACTGGAGACAACAGAGCACATATTAGAAGATAAAAAAAGGAGGAAAAACAATGTCTGATGAAACAGATGGCTTACCTTCCCATTTTGAACCTCCCAGACAATGAGCCGATTATCTGAGCCTCCAGAGACAAGATGACTCTCTGGAGCTGTCCAAATGATAAAAACACAGCATATTAAAGATACATTATATTGGTAAAAGTGCCTTTTGTGCACCTTCGGACTGGGACAGTTGTTCAATGTTATGTGCTATAGCACTTAGTTACAATTAAGGTAAATCATAAATAATCTTATATTGACAAAATGTTCCACTATGAAAGATTATGTTTTACATTTAAATAAGAAACAGGGCCGTTTTAAAGTTAATTATATACACTGAAGAGTTCCATCTTTTCATATTCATAAAAAAAACCTTCTATTAAGGTGTACTACGACATGTATTATCTGTAATATCATTAAGTTGATTTGATTAACTATTTGTTAAATACATTATATTTAGAAAATAAATAATGTTCTACCTCTAACATATTCCCATGTTCCTTGTTTTCTGTTCCTGTCCTGTATTAGGTGTATTTTGCAGGGACATTTTTATGAGCTATAACAGGCTGCATTTGTTTGAGAACAAATTGTGGGTATCGATATAATTTAGAACAAAATGTATACTTTATAAGTGACAGGCCGTCAAATTAGCTTTTTAAAAGAAAAACTGTTATAAAGAGCTAAAGACAAAACCAGATCCTGTCAGGTCCATCAGTGACAGCAGGACACTCACCACAGTCCTCTCTGTGAATCCACTGCACTGTGTTCACTCTCCCTGTGTGTCCATTCAGCACAGCCACCACTCTTCTCTCCTGCAGTAACAAAACAAATCGTTTATTTATTAAGGCAACAAAAAACACTTTTATTTACAACAACAGGATGCTCGGTTATCTTTAGCAGTGTCCACTAACATCCACAGCTAACATGACAGAAGAAATTAGACGGATTGTACTACCTGTGGGTCGTAGAGAGCTACCGAGGTACATGTCCCAAAAGCAATAGTCCCTCCACGACCCCAAGAAACAACATTTGGAGTCCTGTTTGCACAACAAGCTATGTGGCATGTTTCAATTACGGGCGCCGCCATCTTGAAAGTGTAGTTGTGGTGTCGCTGAAAATGTTGTTGTAGCTAAACTACACGTGCAAAAAAAAGGTTCCACATCTAAAGAACTTTATTTTGACAGCAATGTTGTATAGGGTTTTAAAGTAGCTTCGACACATACCAAATTGAGGCATTTATTTCATTATTTCTAATACACTATATAAACACGTTTTTACATTCTGTCGATAAACAATCATGATTTTCATGACAGTGTTTTAACATGAGTGCATTGTTGAGGAATGTCCACTAGATGGTGTACGTCAATAATACAATCCAGAGAGGCTTGTGCTAATATATAATATAACTAACCACATATAAACCAAATGGCTGACGACATTTCTTTAAAAAATAAAAATAAAATTCAATTAAAAAAGCCATACTTACATAATTACTCAAGTACGTGCTTTACTATTTTGAGGAACTTGTACTTTACTTCAGTATTTTAATGTTTTGATTCTTGTACTTTTACTGCACGACAATTCAGATGCTTTAATAGTGTACTTTTACTCCACTACATTTATTATATACCTTTAGTTACTTACATTTGGAATAATGATATTAAGTATAAACAACAAATAAAAAAGGGACTGGTAGGCTACTTTTACTTTCACTTAAGTACAAGATCTGAGTACTTCTCCCACTACTGTCTTTTCCCTGTCCCCATACCCAATGCTTAAAAATGTAAGTCAGATAAATCTGAATACATTTTTATCATTATTATTATTATTATTATTATTATTGAAATTTGGCTTATACATTTACCAAGATTGTGCATTCACATGAGGTACTTAGTTTTTATGATGGACTGCAGCTTTCAACATATTTAGTGAATGGTGATCCAAGGTGGCTGATGACATTTTTACCTATTTTTTTTAATTTCTCCATCAACAATCAAGGTGCCACACTCCACACACACTGCTGTGTCAGACTGTGTTATCCCCTTGCTAAGTGGTGACTGAGGGTGACTGGTCTCAGCTGAGCTAGCTGCCAGCCATGCTTGTTAAAAACAGCCCTCGGCCTTATGGATTTCAAAGGTTGAGGCGACAGTTCTGTCACAAGGAGTTGCTGGACACCCACTTGATAAGATCAGGGAGAACCGGATGGCATCTGTGAACCCTTGAGAAGATACGATATATGACAATGCAGCACAGAAAATCGGGGAGCCATATATTTTGTAGAAGTGAGAACGTCTGGGTCTTTTTTTGCTTGCCTCTGGCTGTGCTGACTTGTGGTATGTTTGTGACAATGACAAAACAGACGCACTGTCACCAATACTTGGGGAGAAAATAGATTGTGTTCGTCTTGCTATTGTTGTCCCTCCTCACTCAGTCTGAGGGAGACAGGATTTAGACAGACTTGGCAGGGTGAGACGACCTGACTGTGGAGGATACCCGTGCAGGAGTGGCACATAGAGATGTAGCCAAACAGCTGCGTCTCTGAAAAAACATCTCTATTTTCTTTGTACTGCGCATAAATCCTCCTCTCGCTGGTGAAATCTGTGTACCTGTTTACACAATGCCGGATTAGTTTGAGCAAATGTAATATGTAGTTTCAGGAGAGAGGAGGTTTATTTCTGAGGGATCCTGTCCTATTTTCCAATCCCATTTTTCCAAAATAGGATAATAAACCTTTATGTGAGATTTTTTTCAACATGTCTTTGCACCAGGTTGCATGTGAACTGTTTCTCTAAGCCAGTAGTGATGGGGTCATCCAGGGAGAGCGCTTTGATTTGGCCCGTGGACACACTCTAAATAGGAGGACAAACATAAACACAACACTATGTCGTGCATAAAAGAGGACCTCTGTCTAACTGCTATACGCATCAAGAATGTAAGAAATCAGTGAATGAATAGTTTACTCTAACGTAAATATGTTATTCATTTCATTGAGCCATATGTTGCCTGAGGAGCTCTGAAGCCGAGAGCTATAAACGAGGGAATAACTATAATGAACATACTTAAGGTGTTGAATGATGTTAGAGAGACCCTCCATTTAATTTAATACTAACATTTTCTTGGGGATTTTAAAGTGTTTTTCTCATTTTAAGCCAATTCTTTCGACATGAAACAAAGGCATGTTAAAACTATAGTTAAGGCTAAACAGTGCATGTAATGACTGTAATTATACTTTTTCTCTTTTCACATCTTAAGTAACAACAACAGTATTTTGCAACTCGTTATACCTTCTCTTTTTATTCTCTTCCTCTTAGCCTTTAGTAAAGGGTGTACAAAAATAGATTTATTTTTTGATGAATGCTTGTTATTGCATGCAAGAATGATGAATAGTAAATAATGTAATGACAAAAAATAAAATAGGACAAAAACATTTTTGGGATTAATTTCCTTGCGCACATTTCATGATTATCTTTTGTTACGTCTGAGCGATTTATACCCTTGATGTTTATTCAAATCATATTTAAATCTACTCTTAAGTAATTGCTTTTTTTTAATAATGATATCTGTAAATAAAACTCCTTGTGGAATTTATCCTCAGATTTAGAAAAGCAAACATCAAATCTCATCATTGAAAAACAAACATTCTCAGGTTTCTCATTTTCATATTATTCAGTCTGTTTTCTCCAGCATGATGAAAACACACCAGCCTTGACTTTATAGATTATATACATGTTGGTAATATCCTGGATTCATTTCTCTTGTGTGCAAGGACAACAAATACAGCTCATGCATAATGTTTCCATTTATGTATTACATGCCTACCTTCCTGTGTGTTTTCACATTTTGTTATTTCAAATTGCAGAGAGCCTCTCTGACAAATGAGGAAAAAAAAAAAGTGTTGGATGGAAACTGAATGATAATGACGAATAAACAACAGTAAAGTAGGCTCAGAAAAAAAGCCAAGATTACTGGGATGGTTGTCTGCTATGGCACTGCCTTGTTTGTTTACATGCACTTCAATTAGCCTTGCCCCTGGGGATGCCATTTGGCGGACTGACAGATGCCTTCATCCATATTAACACTGTTGCTTTGGGGATTTTTAAAACATATTAAAACGTCAGATTTGTATTCAGTTTCGAACACTGTGCTGCTTATTATTTGCAGTAGAACACTGTTATTGAATTTCTTCCCGAGACTTGTAAGGCAGACAGGATTAAACTCATCTAACATTTATAACACCCAAAGCTTCAACTGTACAACTATTCAGGGTCAGTTAATAAAAATAGTGTAGAACAAACTCAATATTTAACCAGGGGCATCTCACCTCAGTTTGACCTCCTCTCTCTCACAGGGCCTCACAGGGTCAAAGTATTTTTGTAAGTTGGTGAGTTCAGCAGCGGGTCTCTCAAGCTACTCCAGCCTGAAGCGCAAGTATTCTTAGTGATATTTCTTTAAACTAGTTCATCTGACGGGCAGGCGCAGGGTTCCCTGAAGGCTTACGCTAATGTGTAAATTGTGGTGTGAAATCTAGACACATAACATGGATTGTTACACTACCAAACACAAAATCTAATGTGTATCATTATGTGAAGAGGGCCATGATCCAACACTGTGAATATACTGAGATAGACCTTTTTAAAGTACAAGGGGAAAATCCTTGAACATTTCACCGCAATCCTCCCTTTGAATCTAACATTTCAATCTACTTATCCAAGAGGGAATATGACTGAATGCACTCATTTTACATCTCGCAGTGTGCAAAATCTCTATCTTGTGTGGCTCAGCAGTGAGGTTGGAGAAGTCAGCACTTCTAAAGCACGAGATAGGGAGAGAGAGAGACAGTAGCAGCTGTTGGTAACACAGTCAAATTATGCTTAAGCATCTTTTACTTAATGAGTAATACCCTTGGACTGTGCAAAGTATTCACAAAAGGCCCATTTCTGTTTATTTGGGTTTCCAGGCAAATTGACCAAACGCAATGTGCCTAAAAGAGATTAGACACAGAGAAGCAAATATTGAATATTCCAACACAAATGAGATACTGTTGTGAAAAACAAGCCAGTTTCACGTTGAGAGTATGACACTGACAAACTCAGTGAGAATATGCACACTATTGTGTTTGTATGAGCTTGTGGAATGGAAGCATTTGTCTAGGTAACACATTTCCACTTACATAGTAGAGGATAAATCATATTTCTTATCTTTTCTTCCCTCTTGAACAGATCTGCTACGACTAAAATAATTTAAACCAGCAAAAGTTGAAACAGCACAATGCATGAAGCCCAAGGGGAGCTTGTTATCATCGTATCACTTCGAAGAGAGCCTCACAGCAGATTAACAAAAAACATACAGATATTATCTAGTCAGTAGTAGAGCCATTCATCAAAGCAGAATATAGCCCTGTCCGCTCGTAGCAGCCAAACTGCTTGCATGCCTTCATAATGAAGCAATGTGTGTGCGTGTGTCTGTGTATGTGTATGTGTGGGGAGTGAAACCTATGTAAACAGGGAGGGTTAAACTAAAGCATAGCTCTGGGGTTTTAAATAAATACTGGCTTGGGCTGAGAGTGGCAGACAGTCTTAACACACACACACACACTCACACCCATAGCTATTGTCTCTTCTGCTGACACAGAGTGCGAGCCAGCCACTATAGTTGATGATAAAGCAGACAGCAAAGCCCTCACTAACGGTGCCACAGTGCTATCTGCTCTCTCAGTCATCTGGTGTGTTTGTATTATGAAGTGTTATTCACCACTTGTCATCCAGTGGCTCCACTTGTAAAGTTAGAAATAGCCACTGGAGCCACTTGAGGATACAAAGAATTTGGCAATAGTTTGGTCTCAGATCCAGGCTGCAATAAAGTAGGCCTATTTTGAGTCCTATTATGGATACCATTCACTGCCTCACAAAATAAGAAGAGGAAGGATGTGTTAACCAGGCTCAAAACATTTCTCCTCATTATTGAGAAGTTTTACAGAACTTCTAATGCAGACCATTTACACACATTGGTGATAGTTAACTGGTTTAGCAGCACTTATTAACCTCATATGAGCATGCAACGCTAGATCATCTCATCCCCACACAAAATGATTCCACCTAAATAACATCCATAGAAGTCATCGTAACCTCCAATCAGTCAGTTTTCAAAATGAAATTTCATCCTGTTTCTTTCTCAGGCTCAAGTATTATTTAGCAACAATTAACATGTTTGCCTTTACCATGCATCAACAGACTCACAGTTCTTCAGTATTGCTGATGTTTTTGTTTGTGTCCCTTTTGGTACTCTGCTATTTTGAGATCCACATTGTGAAAGTAGTCTGGGGAAATTCTGAGAGATGTGGAGGTGGGGAGGTGTTGACGGTTGGTGATGGGTAAATGAGGAGATAGGGATTTATATCCTTCTGCTGAAATACAATATGAAAAAGTAATGAAATTTGTAACAAAAAATGCACATCTATGTCCATCAATCCACAACTCAGAGTCTCTAATTGAAATGCTGAGTTTTATTGATGGGTTCACTCTAAGCTTCTGTAAACAGATTTTCTGCACTTGTCATTTATTCAAAATATGTCTGCAGAGGATAAAGCTCTTCAGAGCAGGAAAACATCCAGCCAGATCTGTGTGTTCCAAGTTGTTTAAGATATCAAAACATCAACAACCCTTTTATATTATTGATGTTTGTTTGCGATTTTGCAGATTTGATCCAAAACCAGAACCATATGAAATCCTAAACAAACTCTTTGGAAGCACTTTACTTATTAAACCTTAAGGGTCCCCTTCTTACGTTTCGACCCTGCTAGTTAGATCATGAGATTGAATGCGCAAATGCACATAATGAAGTTGGTAACTTTTAAAGATTGGCACTGCATTCCAGTCAGTGCGGTTGTCCCAAGTGGCTCAGTGCAGCCCAAATTTGATTGGCATATCTGGTGTGCATTTGGAGAGGATGATAAGGGATTCTCAGACTCCAGGGGATAATGTGGGATTCTTTGTCTCAGGGATCAAACCAAAGCTGCGCTGCGAGGAAAGCATCACTCATCATCTCTCTCTGGAGGGCCCTGCAGCAATTTGCATTACTGATTGATACATTTTTAAACTAAAAAGTGCAAAATAACAATAATAAAAGAGGTTACAGATTATGTTTACATCAACAGTACTTGTATCAACATAGGTCTGATTTGATGACATTGCTATGCATTACACAACTCATATAGTGAAGAAACAGACATATCAAAATTAAAGCAATCATAACGATTATAATAAGCAAAATGGTAAACTGAACTTTGGGAAGCCTTGAGCTGCACATGAGCCAGCATGAGCACCCGAAAGTGTGTGTGCGTGTGTGTGTGCGCGTGTGTGTGCGCGCTGTGGTGTGTGTGCGCGCTGTGGTGTGTGTGCGGTTGCCCACAGTGCTGTGCTGCAGTCCGCTCCCTGCCGGTGTTCAGTTAACTACATGGACATTAGCGGCGCAGCGACACAACCACCGAGCCAGAGTGGATTAAACAGCGTGTGTGCGGAGAGTCACTCGGTAAACGACTGTGTAACCAATTCAGACATCTTGTACTGCCATAGCAAGTCCGTTGCACCGGTTTACATCTGCGAAACAGCCAGGGAAAGGCTCTTGGTAAACTCAGTAGTGCCGTGCATTGTGTGGCAGCTCGGCGGGAATGGCTTCATCTCCGTGCGGCAACACTAACTTTGATTCCGGGCTGGAAATCAAAACTCGCTCGGTGGAGCAGACGCTTATTCCTTTAGTATCGCAGGTGAGTGCCATATTAACCCAAAAAAACAAGTTATAATGTTATTTCTGAGTACTTTAAAAACGCTTTCACAACACCAGCCGTCTGCGCACACATGAGGCTAACTTTGACTCTGTGTTTACCTGTTTGTGTTCGCATGTTTACCTCTCGTGATGTGTTCAAAGACTGTCCCATGTGTGGTTTAGTTTACGATTCTTTGTACTACTGTCACTGCTGTTATCAGTAATGGGGGTGTATTACAGTTTACTGCTACTGCTAAATCGACTTATTACAAGTCGCACGCTGCAAAGTGCCTATAACTGTAAACTTTTAACATGAAAGACAGCCACTGTGATAAAAGTAGACTAAAAACTGGTTTTGTTGTTTATAGCAGAATCTATAACATTATACTGACACTGTATGGGGAATGGGGAAGTAAAAATGGGGGCAATTAAACCAATGATCAACCATCCAAAAACACAATTAAACCACTGTGATGTTAATCCCTATTTTGCTAGACTCATAATAAAAAATAATTAAAGGGCATAAAAGTTTCCCAATAAGTTGTGTGCTGCCCTTTGCCAGTCCTGAACTGCTGTCTGACTCCCACTTATCTAATTAGGCCACTTTGAGGCACGTGTTTTGTTTTTCAATAAACAGAAGCAGAAGAAAGACCCACTTAGCCACTGCACTCTTTCAGGAACTCTTATCCTGCACACTTGAAACAGTCCATAGCTTTAAAGCATAGAGTTTAGGTCAATGAGTTAATTAATCATTTTATTGTTTAGTGCAACAAAGTAGGGGGAGAACTCCTAGGCCTGATTTGTTAATTAGTGATTTAATTTGAGGCTGTTTAATTTCCATTTCGATGTATTTGGCAAAGCCTCTGCTTTTAACATAAACATGGCATGTTGTTTCCTTGGAGGTGGGCTGCATCCCCTTGAATAAGCAGTAACCACCAGTCTTATAAATGCTAATTTCCCCTTGTTTCGAAGAAGGCTAAATAGTGAGAGACCTGTAAATGTACTGGTGTTTCCACGGAGAGACAGTGGAAGAGAGCAGAGCCTCACGGGGGAGTCTGGACAATACGGTGATGGAAGGTCTCTGACACTGTCCCTCCCTCTGTGAACGCTGAAAGCCTGCATCCTCTCTCATGGCACTAAAGGACAAAAGGTCATCCTGTACTGAATGGATATGGGTTGGTTATCAGAACATAAGATAGGAGATGTGCTTCTGTGCAGCATTAAGTACACCGAAAATAACATTTAATTTGTATACAGTCTGAGAAATCAAGGGTAAATTCACCAATTACTGTAAGAATATTTACAGTAAGCATTCCTGCAATATTGTGCAAAAGCATCCAATAGATCTGCTGCCCTCTGGGTTACTTAAAGATATTTATGCTGCAGTAAACGCATGGTGCACTCCTGCTGATAAGGACTGGCTGAGCTCCACCGTAGTATAGAAGACTTTTCTGAATACTTTTAACAGCATTCAGTGTAGTGAGCCTCAAGGACAATCTTTTTCTAACTTCTTTTTTTCTCAATGTGAGGCATGTCCCCATAGCAACAGAGCTCTGCAATGCTGAAAGAAACAACATTTCCAAGGGGCTGTTATCTCCGTAATGTTTCTTTGTTGTGGCTGTGATGTCATCTGGAGGACGGTCACTCAGTCGGAGCTGACCGGTACATTAGTCTCACCTGCTGTGAGTGCTTTTCATGCAGTGTGGTCATTGCACTCAAATCACTCGCACATTTACTGCAAATATGCACAAGGCTGTAAAATCGATTAGAAAAACCAAGTGGAAAATATAAATATATGCAGATATTCAAATTGTTTACTAGATATAATTGGTAGTGATCCGTAATAAAAATAAGTGCCTTGTATGATTGTTGGGTTAATGTCCGGAAGTAAGCGTTGTATCCTACTGTTTAATAGGATATAGAAAATGAAGGCATCTTAAGCCAGATCAATCCTTTGCTTTTATGTGCACATCATGTATTTGCCAAAATAAATCTGTCCAACTTGTGTTTATTAGAAAGGCTGGCATTGAATTCAGCAGTGTTACTCTGAATGCAGCCTTAATGTGAGAAAGATAACTAATTTAAGGAGTTAATGTAACTTGAGTATTGCTTTACACTGGCTATAATTGAATCATTATAGCCAGTGTAAACACACTAAATGTGCAGGCTGTTTTGTTCAGCTTTTACTTTGATGAAGCTCATGTGTGAGTGTGTGTTTTTGTGTGTGTATGCAAGCTTATCTGCTGTAGGGGTCATTAGATAACTACCAAGGAGGAAATGAAAAAGCTATGTCAGTGAGCAAAGCTGGTGTGTGATAAGGTATCATGTACAATATCCTCTTTTTTAATTTCTCTTCTCCTCTCCCTTCTCCTCTCTTCTCTCTTTCTGTCCTCTCCTTCTGTCCCCTCCTCATGACGTTGGTATCCTCAGGCCTCTGTTATCAGCTTCACTCCCACCAGGGTGTAATTATAGTCCTGGGAGTCCCCCGGCCTTGCACCATATTCAAACACGCTCGCAGACACACAAGCATTCTGTCCCGCTCACCTCTTCTCTTGTCATGCTTGTATGTTCACCTATTTACTTCTGGGTGTATGCATTTTCCTTTTTGACAGTTGGCCTGAATGTCAAGCACATTTCTTATGTCAAAAGAATTAGCTTGAACATTTTAAAGCCTCAATTAAAATCAAGCCCCATTAAATGCGTTGCCCCCGGAATTCTTTTCGGAAAAAGTCCAAGTTCAGGCTGTTAGTTAATCAAAGAGACGTCTTCATTTGAAGGGCAAAGCACCTTTGTGGCCGCTTCGGGCACCTATATAGTAGCGGTATGAATAAATGTGTAACGTGTTTGACACACAGATACAAACTACGCATCCTTGAACAGGTCATGGCACAGACAGGCATGCTATTTTGTGAAAAACATGCAGACTTCCCGTTGCGGTCATTTGTGGACATGGGTGCAGTTGGTTTTGCACATTTATTATTACAGAACCACTGATCCAAATAACTTCTTATTTCTTTTAATATCAAACTCATTTTACCATCTACTTCACACTTTTCAAAACAGAAGGGGGTTCTCGTTGATTTGACTGAAATACTCTTCTCAGCTACGAATTCAACAATGCGCTTTTTTGCAACTTTCTCCTACGCCATCTCTATTGACTTGCATTATAAGGGTCATGGTAATTAATTTCTCTTGTGGTGGTTAAAGAATCTAATGTGCATCACGCAGAGAGAAGAGAAACTAAGTGAATATGTCTGCTGTTGTTTATGCATCCTAACCTGTGATGTACTCTGAAGTCAGCTGGAAGGCAATAAGCGAAAATCTGGCTGCCTTCTTAATCAATCAATCAATCAATGTTTATTTATATAGCTTTTCCCTGAGATGTGATTCCTGTTTTGATGTGGTGATTAGTGGAAATAACAGTTCTGTTCCTGGGGTTTTATAATTGAGGTTTGTTCCTAGTAAAAACACACCAGCCCTGTCTGCGGGCATGGTGGTCCTCAGGCTGACGAGGTGTAAGGGTGTTGTTTTGAGGTAAAGATGTGTGGGAACGAATAAGGCCTATGTAATATCTGAGACTTTGATCAGGCTGGTGAGCATTAAACACTTGTGACACACAAGCCTTGTGATGCAAAGCTATGCCAGCTCTGTAATGTTTTTGCAGAGCTAAGCCAGGAGTTTCTTAAAAGATTTTCAACTATAATTGGGCCTGGAAAATCCGTTTTCTGTCCAAGATTGTTAGCGTCAACCTTTTGTATAATGCTTGCAGGGGTTCTGTGGTGTTTGAATTGTTGCTGTCTAATGTGCTAAAAGCACGTAGGGTACAAAAAGCTTTTCCAGGTTTAATCTGCTCACAAACTGGATTGAAATGGCATATTTATTACCCAAACAAAGCTCAGTGGAAAGTTTGAGGATGAGATTTTGCTAAGAGGATTAGCATTTTGCAATATAAATTCTGCATTAAACACAACGCTGTCAAAAAGCTTTGCATAAAATCACTACACAGAGCTCTGTAAACATGACCATCAATCAAATGTCCATCCCGTCTTTCTGGTATTATTGGAAATGCAGTTGTATTGAGGCACTAGGCACTATTTCCCTCTTAATGTTCCCGTTCCTGTGGACGGGTGACATGACAAACATCCGTCTAGAAAAGTTGTTTTTTATATCCGGACAGAGAGGCATTACTGTTGCCACAAGCCCTAACAGATCTGCTTCCTCCAGCCGTATGATGATAATGAAGACAAATGGGTCCCTGGCATGAAGGTGAAACCACATGAGACTTACAGTGCGCCAAAAGCGTGCATGCGTGTGCATACACATTCACAGACCAACATATTCCAGCCTCATGGGAAGTGTGTGTGTTTGTGTTAGGTAAGGTGGGGGATTCCTGTGTGGTTTGTGTGTCTTTGTATCTGCATACTTTGGTTTGTGTGATTGTTTGCTCATGGACGACAGAAACAAAAATGAATGTGTGGTGCCGGTGTTTGAGGTTTTCATCTGTGAAAGCATTGCTTTCTTTGTGTGCTGTGTTTTGCCACCATGACTTGTCACCTTCAACCCTTTGAGGCCTCAACCAAAACAACAATGTGTCCAATGATTACAAATGTTCAACCCAGGTCATGCTGTCACAACGGGGCCACCATTTTTCATGTTTTGCAACTCTCAGTGAAACATTTTAAAGAATGGCAAAAATATACATTCACAATAACCCATTTGCCTCTGCGGGAGTCATTTTTTTTTTGCGTGTTATTATTTGTTTTTCTCCTTGGATTCATCACCAAATACACTTTATAAATCACAGTGAGTCTGACATAATTGATGTCTAAATGAGGATGAGGCAAGTTCTTTCTCTGTGGTACGTAGTATACAAAGGCAGTCAACAACCCCGTGTCATCATCAAGTTGAAATGAGATGTAATTTACTCAACTCTCTTTCTTTTCTAGTTAAGTGCCTGCATTAGTCAGACAACTTTGTCAGTTTTGAGAATTTAAATTCCTT